ATATATATATATATATATATATATATATATATATATATATATATATCTCAGGTCACTACTGAATGTCAATTATTTAAACATTTCTATTGGGGAAGCTATCATGACATATCAGAAACTGTCAGCAGCAAGCAGAACCTGGCAGCAGAGATTCACAATTGTGCATCTCTAGGCAGAAAAGAAGGGTTTTGTGTAGATAGGCAGGATGTAGAAATAAGCAGAGGGATAAATGTTCATGGCCTACATGCCAGAGGTTTTTTTTTCCCCTTTTAATAATTTAAATGAGAACTCAGGATCAATTATGTTGTTTCCCTGTCATCCACTTTCAGTTTCACTGCTTCTGCTTCTACATGTATTCAGAGGGAGACAAGAATGATTCAGCAGCTCTTGTGTTCATCTCCAAGGTAACCTCAGGATTTGCCTCCATTGCTGAAATTGAGACCACTGTCCTTATTGGTTCTTATTCTACAATGAATTTGAATGCACACTGTCCTTCGATCAGAAGCAAGGAGTGCTTATAAAAGCGACAACATTGTAAGCTCTGGCCAGTCAGGCTCTGGCCATATTCCAGGACACAGTGGGTCCTGGGTATGACTAAAGCCCGACTATACATTGGATAGGCAAGGCAGACTGCTCCTGACATGTACAGGGGTCAGAGCCTGTGGAAATCAGCAAAGACAGGGATTGTTTTTTTCCCAGCATTATAGTGATTCCCTAGTCACCTGCTCTGTCTCCTGTGCAGAAAGTAGCATCATTCTTCTGAAGTAACTGCTTCTTTTTTAAGATTGATATTGCTATGTCAGACTTAAAATACCATATCATATGTTAGGAATGTAATCTATTTCAGACCTTATATATGACAGATGCTTTTGGTGTCAGGCTCCTTTCTTCACTCTGGGAGGATACTGTGGGAACTGATATGGCATTGTCAGTGTTCACAATCAACCCATTGTGTCAATGAATATATGACATAGTGACATTTGCTAATGAGACACTACCTGTCACCCAAGGCATGCATTCAAAATAAAATGTAGTGCAGGGTATTAAGATTTTATCATCAGTTTTCATTTATCATCACAGATTCAGCTTTCCAAGCTTGATTTCCCTTCCTATTTTATTTTTGCCTATACAAGCTATATAGTTCTTTTCTTTTTCTTTCCTAGTCAGCCCATTCCTCTTTATGTCATTAGGTCAGGCGTTAGCTTTGTTGGAAATCAATTATTTACTGGTGCTAAGAGGATAGATTTACATATTTACCTTGAAAGTAATTCACACACCAGATTTCCTTGTTCTTCCTTATGCTTTTTTTGATTGTTTTATTTGTAATTGTGTAGATCGTATTTCTCTAATCTCAGTCTCTGATTTCCTATGTCTGATAATACATTGGAGTCGAAGTAACACTGTTCTTATGAATTCATCTACTAACTCTGAATCTGTTAGATCTTTTTCTGCCTTGTGTTCTACATAGACTTTTGATGCTTTTTGGGTGGGAGAGATGAAGTCGCATAATATCAAAAGTAGTACTCCCAAGCCTGCAAAGAATTTAGAAAGACCCTATGTGTACATTCTTGCTTTATTACCCAAATAGTGCATGATGGAACACCTCTGATTAGTGACATTTGATGCCTGGTTCCAATGGGTACATTTAAGGGAGCCCACAGAGTTTTGCTAGTGAGATGTGAGCTTAGTTTATCAGCAAGGCCTCATAAGAGGTGATTAGATCATAGGCATGGTTACTAGGTGTTTTGAAAGGTCTACACTTGTTTTTAACAATTTGAGTATGTGGTAAAATGATCAATTTTACCAAGGTTTTATAGTCCTGTAATCCGCAATTTGCAAATTAACAGAGCCGGGATGGTGGTGGTGAGTACAAATAATAGATATTTTAATGGCGTATTAAGCAGTCAATAGAGTTTAAAATTGCCAAGAATCATTAATAGACTTTATTTTTAAGAAGAAGAAGAAGAAGAAGAAGAAGAAGAAGAAGAAGAAGAAGAAGAAGAAGAAGAAGAAGAAGAAGAAACAACAAAGACGAAGACTGAGGAGGAGGAGGAGGAAGAGGAGGAGAGGAGAAGAGAGAATATAACTTTTCAATATTCCAGTATTTTGAAGTGCAGGACATTCCAATGTATCTCTTGTACCATGTATGTCAGATTACAAAAGAAAAGTGGAGGAACTGGGTTGATTCTAAAAAAAAAAAAAAAAAAAAATAAGGTTTTCATCCAGGAGTCAAACAACCAAGTTTAGAAGTTATGGGAGACAAGCGATATCGTCAGAGATAGGAAATTTATAGAGACTGGGTTTCATAATCACAAATTGTGTGTGTTCTCTGAGGAATATCCCTCAAGTTACTTTATTTTTATATGTTTATAGGCTATATCACAATGTAGATGGACATATCAGGAAGCTAACTGCTCTGAATTATGAAGACCTTGGAAATATTATTAGAATATACAAATGAAAATATGACATTTTGCTTTCCTATCCAATTCTAGGACACAAGGCATAGTGAGTGGATAGTTACAGTAAAATACCTGAGTGTTTTGGCTGTTTCCTTAATGTTTTCAGCAAAATCCATAACTGTTGTAAAAATAGTAAATGGACTTTTAATTTAAAAAAACAGAAGCTGATATTGTGGTAAATTGTGATAGGTAGGAGAAACAAAGTAATAAGCCACTACCATGTCTAACTTTGCCAACTCCATGAACCTTTTGAAAGCATGTTTCTTATTCCCTAGCCCAAAGCTATCCAGGCAAATAGCCTCTAGTTCCTGTCTCTTCAGGTTGTATACACCTTTGTCTGCCCAGCCATCAATTCTTTCCTAGTGCTGTAATTAATGGCATAAGTGCTTCTCAAATACTGGGATTAAAGGAGTGAGATCGCTAGTACAGGAGTTAAAGGCAAATGACTACTGAGTATTAGACTTAAAAGTGTATTCCAACAATGCCTGTCTTTGTTTCTCTCCTAGACTGAGTCAATCACATGTAGTTCAAGGAGGCTTTGAGGCCCTGAGATACCAAGAGATCTCTGCTTCCCCAGTGATAGGATTACAGGTGTGTCCCACCACTTCCTGTCCTCTATGTTTAATCTAGAGGCTTGTTCTCTGCTGTGTTTTTCAGGCACATTAATTGTGGTACACACTATATCACCATACGAACCTGGGATTCACACTATGTTTACCTCACATTGATGTGCACCTCATCATTCCACTGAAATGTGATGGCTATTTAAGCATATCTCTACTCTTGAAATTGTATCAGCTCCATATAAATACATAATTCTTTCACTATGAAAACCAGGGAACATTCAAATGTATCCTATGGAAGAATGGTGAAGTGACAGATGTATGAGTGGCTTATATTATTTACTAATCTGACAAAAGTGGAAAGTTTTTTTTTTCTCAATTATTCTAGCCCTGAGATGATGTCCATGAGCTAGTAGTTGTTCTCATATCCATGCATACTCAGGTGCTTTACATGAACAAAGAAAACAAAAAATAGAGCTAGTACATGAAAAAACAATGAGTAGTCCTTGAGGACTATTTATAATGAGGTGAATGTACCAAATTTGTTCAAAATTTCAATAATCACATTTTACTGCACAGGAAATTGTATGAGTATGAATTGAAATTGTGAAACTGAAAGTAATGCAAAATGCATGCAAATGTGTAGAACCACACCAAAAATCGAACAGACAAATGTGCAATTGCTGAAGGTATATATGCATCATGAGTATTACTTTCTGAAAGGAATATATCAGATTATTGCTTAATCAACATAACACCTTAAGCTATGATATGCAAATTGGGGATTTTCAGAGCAGGGCTTCAAAGTCAACTCTCTATTTTCAATACAAGCATTCCATTTCAGGCATTCATATAAAACCATACATATGCATGTATGTGTGTGTGTGTGT